TGAGAAACTCTGAGGACAAATAAAGGCTCCAGTCAGGTTGCATTAGGGCCCATTGCAGCCCATCCCAGTTGACACCGTTTAACTTCATTACCTCTTCAGAGACTTCACTTTCAATATGGTCGCACTGGAGGACTGGAGATTAGGACTTCAACATTTTATCTGGGGGAGTTAGAACGTAGTATCCAAATACTGACTGGATGATGACAATGCACACAAAAGGAAGTACTAAAATCTCACTGTGTGGGAAGTAGCTTTCCTGAGAGGTTTGCCTGATGCAAGTCCAGTTCTCAAAGACTCCCTCTGACAAAGATCCAGGGCTTCGAGGCAAATGCCGGGGCCTTTGGTCATCAATAAATTCTATGACTCTGTTCAAACGGCATGAAGCTCTGAGCCTCAGTTTTCTCACTTGGAAACTAAAGAAGTTGAATGTGCTGCTTGGTATTTCAACCTCTCCTCGGATGACAAAGCAAGACAAAACACAACAGCAAAACCCACCTTCACCCAGTTCCTTGGAATTCTAGAATTTGCTATTCCCCCTACCCATACGCAGCCTATGCCACCAAGATGTGCCAGTATGAATGAGACTTGAGCACAAGTGTGAAGCAGAAGCCGCTGTCCCACTGCTAGCTCTGCTACCTAGGTCGACGGTGTTGGAGGAAGTACAGAGGCAAGCGGAGGTGCGAGTTGTGGGGTCTTATAGAAGGCTGAGGTTCTTGAAGAGCAGCTCAGGGGGTGGAAGAATGAGACAGCTGGATTCCTTCCTGAAGACAGGACGGTACACATAGGACACACACACATGCACACATACATGCACGCATGCACACACACACTCACATACACAACCCTTTATATACAGCCACTTACATAAATATATACACAAATATAAATGTGTATTTTTTTTAAATTAATATTTAAAAGATATCACTTGTCCTTGAACTTGCCGTTCTCCTCTGTCTCCTAAGTGATGGGATTATAGGCATGTGTCTCCATGCTGGCTCAAACAAAAACAAACAAAAACAAAACAAAAACTGAACAAGGAACAAAGGACTACAGTTTAGACCTTAATAAAATTCAAGTGATAACTGATCAGTTTATAGATTTATTGCTTCATGGATTTAGCAGAGGTTTTGCTAATAAGCCCTGCTCCTTCTCCATCCTGGTGGAGGTGAGCAACCTTGGTCAACCCCATGCATCCTCCATGATGTCCTGCCTCTCCTCGGGCCACAAACAATGGAGCCAAGTGACTATGGCCTGAAAACACAAGCCAAAATATTTATGTACTTATTTATCATAGGGTTTTTTTTCATGTATTTTGACATAGCAACAAAAAATGACTGGTCCCAGAACAATGGGCAGGTCCCAGATATCTCTCTCTCTCTCTCTCTCTCTCTCTCTCTCTCTCTCTCTCTCTCTCTTTCTTGTAAGCAGCAGGACTAAGACGCTGGACTCTAAACTGTCAGTGAAGTAAGAAATGCAGGGAATATGTCCACCTGGCTATGACTCCAGCCCAGTTTTGAACAGCAGGAGAGTGGTCCAGGATGGTGAGGGAGGGAATGGGGCCCATTCACAGCTCACAGAAGGGAGTTTTACATGCATTTGGCATTTCCAGTCTTTTACAGTTTTACAGAGACAATGTGGTATTTTTATTGTCCCTGGTTCACAGGTGAGGAATCCGGAACAAAAGGTGAGCAGCTTGAACAAATCCCTGAGTCACTCAGGAGTCCCTTCCCCCTCTCTGCAGGAAATGTCTATTCTTTAAAAAAATTTACAACTATTTCACTTTTTATGTGCATGAATATTTTGCCTGTGCGTGTGAATGCACATCATTGGTGTGTCTGGTGCCCTCAGAGTTCAGAAGAGGGTGTCAGATCGCCTGGAACTGGAGCTAGGAAGAGTTATGAGTCACCATGTAGGTGCTGGGAATTGAACCAGGCACCTTTGCAAAACAACAAATATTCTCAACTGATGAGCCATCTCTTCTGCCCCCAGCAATATGTTTCAAGACTGGAGATCCAGAGATTTTTCTCTCTTTCTTAAGCATTTCTTTTTCACACACTGAAGCCATGATTTTATGCAGTTAGAGGTGTAAAAAGCAAAACTAGCATGGCTTTCTTTTGCTTTAACACAGGTCTTACTGATGTCTTAGCAAGTCTGGCATGATAATTTGCTTTTTCCCCCCTCGAAGTCACTCACATGACTTGACCACAATGCAAATATCTTATCACAAAGATAGTGGATCCAATGACCAAGGTAACTCCTGACTAACAGGTAGAAAGTGTATACAGCATAGGCCTATAGAGAAAGAGCTGATGAACTGAAGCTGGGGGAGAGAGACAGACAGAGAGACGAGACCAGACAGAGACAAAGACAAAGAGAACGCTAGGGAGCTGCACCTGTGTTAAAGATTTTTCTCTACAGAGCTAAATGATGGAACTTTAAGATTACAGAGAGTTATACTGTTGCAAACCAGAGTCAAATTATCTTGGGCTATTTTTAGTCCTTCAGAAGCCACACACTCCTCAAGCCTGGGTCTCCCCTAACATCCTAAACCTAAAAATACCATCAGATGTTATCTGAAATCTACAGCAGAGTTGGCCCTGCTTTGCCATCACCTGCCTACCTGTACCCACAACTAATATATTTAGCAAACACTTTGATTTATGATTTTCTTTGTTATGCAACTAATAAAATCTCAGGTAAGCACTTCTATGGTGAAGCATGGTATTTGGGGATTTGAGGAGCTCTGATCTGTGTTTCCAGGCCACAGACCCTCATACTTGGCTCCAGAATAAACTGTCTCTTATTCTCATTGAGGCCAGCACTGTGGTTTCTGCATTGACATATCAAACAGGGCTATGTTAGAACTTATGAATTTGTCAATTTCTGGAAATTTCCATTTATGCGTTCAGACCATGATCAGTCATGGCGGCTGAACTAGGGGAAAGTGTAGCCAGAGCCAAGAGGGACTTCTGCAAAGTGACAGCCAGGAGCTTTGTACTCAGGCCTTTGACCAGGTCTCCAAACACCACTCTCGCGCGGTCCCCCCAGGCTGAGCCCTTAGATTGTTGGGGATTGTAAGGACTCCAGTGCCTGTTTTATTTGCTTCAGCCTAAAGTTGCCCACAGACCTGGTATGAGAGGTATGGATCCCAAGCTTAGCCAGGGCATCCACCTAGCAAAGTGGGGGAGGGAAAGCAGGCCGCTAAGCCACTGACTTTTTGTCTGACTTCCAACAAGAATCACCAAAGGGACCTTAAAAACCACCGATGCCAGCCTCTCTCAGAGATTCTCATTTAGCAGTTCCGGAGTGTAGCTCTGGCTGGGGATTTTAGAAGCAGCCAAGCTTGAGAAAGGCTGCTGTAGCTGTTACCAAACGACGTGGGGGAGGAAGGAGGGGCTGCAAGGCCAATGACATCACCTGCACACCTGCTAGAAATGAGAATTCTCTCCTCCCACCTCCCGAGTCTGAGACCCAGCAGATGTGGAGAAGAACAAGCCTTTGACACAGTTCTGATGCATCCTGAGGGTTAAGAATATCTTCTTTAAGCAACAGGCTAGAGACATACTGTCACTTACCATGGTTTGCTTTGTCAACTACTGAATAACAACTATGTCCATTATCAAGTTAAAGAAATGAACCTGCCTCAGGCTTTCCCCTGAGAACACGTGAGAAAGCACTTTGGTGTGATTAGGAATCAACTGGAATTTGATGAGGCCTCTGAGAAGGGGAACAGCATTATCACACACGGATACTACTCAGCAACTGTGGGCCAGAAGCTTCCACAGGCAGGAAGCCTTGCCTGCCCAGGGAGAAGTGATCTGAGGGGAGAGGTGGGCAGGTGATCACCTGAGATCATCCAGCAGGTCGACACTTGCTCCCTTTCCTCAGACTTCTCAACTTGGGTGGTGTGTTTGTTCCTTAAAAAATGCCACAGCAAATTGTTACAAAGATGATGACTTTTATTAACAGAAATGCATCCCCTCACAGATATGGGAGTAACAAGTCTAAATTAAAGGCGGTGGCACAGTGACTTCCTCCTGAGGGGTCTGGGGGACTTGCCTCCTCCCTGTCCTATGCAGTTTTAACCTAGCATTCCCTGGCTTACATCATTCCAATGTCCAGCTCATCTTTCATAACCTTCCCATTTGCATCAAATCCCTCTCTCCTTTCTCTTAATAAGGGCACACGGGCCATTAGGCTTAGGGTCCAGGATACTCTCATGTTGAAACTCTTGTCCATATCTACAAGGATTCAATTTCTAAACAAGGTCACGCTCGCCATTTCAGTTCAGAAATCAGGACTTAAACATCATATTTTGGGGGTGAAACTTACCCCCACTGTTGTCAGCTGCCTCTAGCTTGGAAGACAGGGCAGTAGATGGGGGTATACAGTCTTTCAGCTTCTCTGGGCCACGTTGCTCGAAGAACTGTCTTGTGTCATGCATTAAAATACAGTGTGTCCAATATAGCCCACAGTGTAGACTGTCTTCACAGAAGTCTGTCAGAGAACTCTCTTTCCTTTTGCTCCTTTAAGCCCGGGCATCTCTCTTTTTGACTTAGTGGCGGAGGGGGTGAGGATTAGGGATTATCTGACTTGCCCACACTCTTGGAACTTCAAGTCCTGGAGCCTGGTGGAGGCAGGAATCCAGCCTGTACTCTGCAGTATACCACACCAATCAGGACCTTCATTCTGTTTATGCCAGCACCCTACAAATCCAGGCCTACTGCTTTCTTCACAGTCGCTTGCTTCGGCTTGCCAGCAAGCCTGTCTACTCTCTGTGCTCCAGTTCACCTGCACTCAACATTATGTTTTCTTTATTTCTCCCACTGAGCCTAGTTTAGGGTCAAGCTTGGGTAGACGCTTGGCACATTTTGTTAATAGAATAACCTGGGTCTGACTCAATAGGAGATTCAGTTTCTAGCATGGAAGCATGAGTTTTAACAAGGCTGAGCATCAGCTGCCAGTATGTACCTTGAAAGGACACAGTAAAGTCATACCACATGCGGACAAGTAATAATGTGGTTGAGTTTGTGCCATCCTTGGAAATAAAGGGCAAGGCCAGAACTTACATCATGGTGAGTTCAGAGCTAATCTGCAAAGCTTGTCACAGCTGACAGCTTTAATTCTCTCCCGCTATGTCTGCAGCCAGCAGTGTTTCCCGATCACTATTTGACTTAGCACTAATTAAGCCCTCCAGCCTGTGTGGGAATCTGTGAAGTCCATGAAGCAGAGGAATAGCCGAAATCTCAAGAGGCTTGGATGGAGAAGTCGTTTTAGCTTATGCCGATCCTGGAACCCACGTTCCGACATGCGCTTTGAGGGAAAATGGGTTTTGCAAGACTGAGTTCTACTTGCTTATCTGATACGGCATGGGGAGACAGCTCAACGGTTAAGATCACTGGCTGCTCTTCCAGAGGGTGGAGGTTCAATTCCCAGTACCCACGTGGCAGCTCACAACCATCTGTAACTCCAGTTCCAGAGAATTTGATGTCCTCCTGTGCCCTCCACAGGCACGAGGGACTGGAGCAGCACACTGACATCTATGTGGACAAAACATATATAAAATAAACAGTGTAATTTTAAAAAATGGGAGTATAGCGCTAGGCCATGCAGATAAATACAGAAAATGCCTTACAGGAAATGACTGCCTCCTAGGTCCCAGCAGGAAAAGGACACATGATTTTTTTTTTCCTTCTCTGTCATGAGTATGCCAACCCAGAGTGAGTCAGATTCCATAATCCCTCCCAACACAGTTTAAAATATTTTAATTGGTTTGTACATTCATTCAGTAGATTTGTTATTTTCTGACTTCCCTGTCTATGGTGGTTTGAATAAGAATGGGCCCCATAGGTTCATGTACTTGAATGCTTAGCCATCAGGGAGTGGCACTACTTAGAAAGATTAGGAGGTACAGCCTTGTTGATGGAAGTGTGTCACTGGGTTGGACTTTAAGGTTTCAGGTGCTCAAGCCAGGCCCAGGGTCACTCTCTCTGCTGCCTGGGGATCCAGATGTCAGACTCTCAGCTCCTTCTCCAGCACCATGTCTGCCTGCATGCTACCATGCTTCTCATCATGACAATAACGGATTAGACCTCTGAAACTGTAAGCCAGCCTCAATTAAATGCTTTCCTTTATAAGTGTCTCTTCATAGCAATAGAAACTCTAACTAAGGCACTGTCAGACCACACAGCAAAGCTGTATGCTATGTGAAGATCTGGTCAGATGGAAAGTAGCAAGGTGCATTGCATAACATTCAGAACTCTCCTGGAGAGGCTGTGCAGCCTCTTGTACCATTCATTGTACAGATGAATTAAAATTCAAAGTACAAATATTCCCTGACAGTTCCCTCATAAATAACAACAAGCCAACAAAGAAGTATAGTCCCAGTTGAAATACCCTTTACTAGATGATGGTCAAATCCTGAAAAATGCAGACAATGAATTTGTGTCTGTGGAAGCATCAAGAAACTGCAACACATTACCAGATTTGTGGTGCCTTTTTCTCTATGGAATCCCAACAAACGCAGCTCAGCTATGCAATGTAAGACTGATCGATACATGTGTGCCGTTAGTGAAGAATCCTTTATCAGGCATCCTTTCACACGCTTGCTCTAGTAGAACATCCTCTCTCCTGTGTCTGCTTCAGCTAAATGTTCCTTCACGTGTTTACCCCAGCAAAACACTATACAAAAGACTTCCCAAAGAACCCTTAAGTTTCCAACTCCAACTCCCCTACTATTTTTTTTTTCAGTCATGGTCTCACTACATAACCTAGGCTGGCCTTGAACCTCTGATTCTTCCTGCACTGGCCTCACTAGGGTTGGAATGTCAGGCATGTGTCACTATGCCCAGCAGAATTAGGTAGACCTTTATGTGATAATACTGAATATGGAATATGTTCCAAGACACATTAAATAAACAAGTGTGTGGAGGAATAAGAATAAAGAACCTGAGTGTGTATAAATACTAATCTTCCCCTAATATAAAATATTTGCTCATTTATCTAAACGGAAGTACAGGTTAGTGTCTCCTTTCCATGTTTCTATTTGCTATTGTGTCTATTGGTGATCTCTGATGACTCTGTAATTTAATTTATTCAAACTAGGAGTGGCACCATTGCATCTGAATTAAGATGAAAAAGGAAATCAAACTCGTGGGCTCAAGCCTGTAATTCCATGACTCTGGAGGTACAGAAGGGAAGATTGTAAGTTTGAGGCTATAGCTTAAGGGCCTGTCACTAAATAAATAAAAAAGAAAGAAAGGGGACTTAAAAAACTAAATATCTTACATTTTAAGAGGAAAAAGAATAAGAACAATGCTGATCTGACTCCAGAGGCTGGAGCTTGCTCCTGATGTTGCTATTTGGCCAACTACTCTCTGGTCTTGGTTTTCTAATCTGTGAAATGGGGTTGATTTTTGCATATACCTCCTAAGGATGTCATGAAGATTACACAAATGAATATATGCACCAAGTATGTAACCAGTGCTGAACCTACCACATATTTAAAAGCTACTTTGCTGAGAAAAAGAAAACACATTTCCACACAGTTAAGACTTAAAAGATTTATTCTCCTTCTGACTCTTGCCAAGCCCCTAAGGCCTGAATTGAAATAACCAACTAGATCTTTGTCTGTTGAAAGTTTACAGGACACTTTCCCTAAGCATTGTTGTTTATTGCAACACAAGTAAACCACTCTTTTTATATTGAAATCATTTCTGAATCCCACGGTTATTAATTTCAAACCCAGACTTGCCTTTGTACTTAATTATGAGCCCCCAGGAGTTGGAAGTATAGCACTTCTGTTTGTTTGCTAAGAGTTTAGGTGCCTGCTGCTGGGGTGGCATCCAGAAATGCTCCTCAAATACTCGGGTTGTCCTGGTATGAACGCTGAGCTGCAAAACAAGACACCTGCTTAGTAGGTTTTCTATTGAAGCCCAAGTGAACAGAATACGGGATTTAAGAGATGCAAGCAGCCTGGGCTCCAGAATCAGCTTTCACTTGTCTGAACTTGCTTCTTTGTTTCTATACTGAGGTGTTGAGTTAAACCATCTGCTTTGCTCTTTATAGTCTAAAGGATTCTAAGTGGATACAAACTGTGCCTCAGGAAGCTGAGATTTCCCCCTACCCCCAGACAGTTCTCTTGGCTACAATGCCCAACGACCTTCTTAAACACTGGGAGTGGTGAATGTTGTGTAACAGTTTCCTCGGAGATTGAAACATTCCATCCTGCAGGGAAGTTCCTTAAGCAGGAAGTTAAACAACCCAAAATAGCTTCAGGAAGTCCCTGAAACTGATCAGATTCAGTGGGGGCCCTCCCTGCCAGAGTATTAAAAACTAAGAGTCTCTCTACCAGAAGATTGGAGCTGAGGTACAAATAAAACTCTCAGATAAGACAAGCTACTGTGACCAGACCAGTTGCTTGGAAGAAGCAGAAACCAGTTGAGCTGCCTGGAAGAGGTTTGGACCAACTGAGTCACTTAGAAAAGACACTATCTAACCAGTTGAGCTGCCTGCAGGTTGTGTAGTATGCTCCAGTTTCCCACCTTTTATGAACTCTCACAGGTGCAGGCTGGGATGTGGTGATGCATCTGTCTTTGAGTCATTTCTGCTCATGTAAGCAACCCAATACAACTCATTAGCTCTCCAAGTTGAGCTTTGGTGGTATCAATACTTCAGTCCGCTGTGGGTTGCCTATCTGGAGTGAGTAGACTTGTGTGTGGTGTCTCTCCAAGAAATGTTTTGAGACAGATTCTCTCACTGAAATCAGAGTTCATGGCTAGACTGGCTAGCCAGCGAGCACCAGGACAATTCTATCTCTGTGTCCCCAGCCTCATGATTATATCCATACACTACTGCACCCAGCTTTTTATGTGGGTGCTGTTGATCTGAACACAAACCCTTGTGGGACTCCATAAGGGTATCTTGGTTCGTAACGGCAGGTGTTCGACCACGTCCCCAGAACCCAGAGTCCTGACACACAATCTAGTCTCCATGGACCTACATTGTTCAGTCACATAGGCCATTACAGCCCCTCCCAAAGTGCACTTGTAGAGTGATTACAGGCCTCAGGCCCTAGGGATTTACATACTAATGAAGGCCAGAGGGTGGAGCATTCTTCCCAGAACCTCCCCCTTTCTCCCTCCCTATTTAACTCAGGTCTGCCCTGAGTTTCAGGGAGGTACATCCAGATCCATCTACCATCCGCCATGAAAATAAACCCTTTTGGAACCAAGGACTTTCTCGTATCATTGGGGCCTGCCGTCGCCAAAGCCTCCAGCCTCTGGAACCTTAGACGTTTCTCCTGTATGTGGGACCCGCCAGTGTGGAAAGCCTCCGAGACACCACTGTGGCCTATTTTCCCACAAACCCTTATGCTTTCAAGGCAGTTGCTTTAACAGCTGAGTCATCTTCTCAACTCCTAAGGTTTCTTTATTAAAAATAAACAAGCATATCCATCTCGTCCATGTGTCCTAGTCAGGGTTACTATGCTGTGATGAAACACCACAACCAAAGCAACTAGGCGGGGAGAGGGTTTATCCAGCATCCACTTCCAGAGTCACAATGCATCAAGAGAGGCCTCAATGGCAGGGACTCAAATGGTCAAGAACCTGAAGACAGGAACTAATGCAGAGGCCAAGGAGGAGTGCTGATTACTTGCTGCTCATGGCTTGCTCAGCTTGCTTTCCTATAGAACCTAGGACCACCAGCCCAGGAATGGCACCATCCACAATGGGCTGGGCCCTCCCACATCAAATCACTAATTAAGAAAGTTCCCTACAGGATTGCCAATAGCCCAATCTCATGGAGACATTTTCTCAACTGAGGCTCCCTCCACTCTGATGACTCTAGCTTCTGTTAAATTGACAAAAAAACCTAGCCAGCACAATGTGCAACATTATTTACGTCTTTAATAATGATAATATATATATATATACAC